TCATCTTCCACTAATAGCCATGTCATGCCACAAACTTTCAACCTCTTAATGCAAGCTATTCATGTCATCTCAAGTTCTATCACAACATGCAAGACATCCACATCATGTTCCATTAACTACCCACATCATCTTTCACTAATAGACATGTCATGCCACTAACTTTCAACCTCTTAGACTGACTCCAACGGCGTAACCCATACCTGAGACCCATTTCACGGTTTGGGTAATGTACAGTAAAAAATGTTGCATCCCCATAGCTTGGCCTCTCCAACAGAGGAGCCCCAAATCCCTGCCACGGCGCTGCCCGCCATGGAGCCTTTGACGACACCGGCATTTCATGGCCGGCGGCGGCACCTTATCCTCCTCCTGAGCTCCACCAGGCGGGGCGGGACGCGGAAGCTCGCACGGTCGGCCGCCGGCGTTCACCCTCCACGTCTCCACCCACCTCCCGCCAGCCACCACCGCGGCAGGCCGGTAGCCAGCACCTCCCCCACTGCGCCCCCCGACAGCTCGACTCAGCTCGTCCCCTCGCCGGGCCACCGGCTCACCCCGACGCCCCCTGCTCCTTTCCCTGCTGCCTCCTCCCAGCGCGAAGGAGCCGGCCACCGGCGGCCAGGAGGCGCCCCTTCTGTAGCACCCCTCTGGCATCCGTGTCCCGCCGACCGGCCCTCCCCCTCGGCGGCTTCAAGCAAGGTGAACACCTAGATCCATTCGTCAATGTATCCATGGCGGCGCTCTCTCCTTCGTCAACTCCTCCCGCGGCGGCCACCATCGGAGATTTGCCTACTGAGGAGAGAGATGTTTTTTTGTGTATCGTTTCTGTCGGCAGGCAAAATGGGTCGGACGTCTGGGTGACCCGTTGGAGAGCGTTTTTTGTAGGCAAAACCACTGTAGACGGCGTATTTTGGGTTTGCATTTCATCGTTGGAGACAGTCTTAATGCACAAGCTATCCATGTCATCTCTACTTAATTTCATTTTTAATTTTTCGCAATCACCGCAGCAACGCGCGGAGTATCTTCTAGTATTTACATAATGGCAACCCAATATACATTGACGGCTTGCCTGTTTACACCCTCCAAGGTGACCCCTCTCCCCCTCAAGCAACCATCTGAACATGCAAACAAACAAGAAGGAAACTGGTTATTTTTGTCAAATTCATAACCTAAATAGGCTAGGTTATTTGTCTATTATATTGGCCAAGACTAAGTGGGAGTCACACAAGGCACCCGCTCGCCAGTTGACACCACTACCCCACAAATAGCAATTACAATCGGTTCCAAACCGGCCTTCACTGCTGGATTTCAATCTAGCAGTGGGCAAATAGAGTGATGACTCCGATGTTTTGCTGCCGGCTGCTGACTCAATAGTGATGCCCATTTTTCCAAAAAAAAGAAAAAAAAAACAGAAAATGCCGAGCCTCCCGCGTTATTGGACCTTGAGCAGTTGGCCTTGAGCCCTGAGCACCACTTGACCTTCTAGACCAACCTCGAGTAGATGGCCATGTGTCTTGAGCAGCACTGGACCTCTAGCCAGGGCTCGAGCATTGATGAACCTCGAGCCACAAGCCCCGTGCACCATCCGACCACTAGCCATCGGTCCTGAGCCCTGTGCGCCGCCAGACCTCGCTTGAGCCACTAGCCTCGCTCCGTAGGGCCTTGAGTCGTGAAGACATGTCGTGCTAGAGCCATTGGCATAAGACCACGCCACGCAGTCGTGCCCTGCCTTGCTACCCACCTTCGTGTCGCTGAGCCCCGGTCACTACTACAAAACTGATTTTCAGCAACGGGATGCTTTTCTATAGAGGCAACTCAATTTCTGGCTGCATCTATAGTGGCCTCCAAATCGAGCTGCCTCCAGAAATGCATTTGTAGAGGCGGCTGCTATTTCCAGTTGCCTCTATAAATGTCTCTGTTTAGAGTTAGCTCTATTTCCAGCCACCTATAGAAATCTATTTCTCGAGGCGGGTCTAGTTATAGCCACTTCTAGAAATCATTTTCTAGAGACCTCTGGAAAAGAGCCACCTCTAGATATAGGAGCTGCATAGTAAAATTTAAACTTTTAAGCGATCTCGGAGGGAGAAATGATCAAAATAAAAGTTGTAGATGTTATGTAACTTTGTAGTTGACAACTTTTTCATTTTTAATCATCTATGCAGAGAAAATTACATTTCAATTTCTCATATCTGAAATCAAAAATTTCAAATGACTTCAGATAGAGAAACAACCAAAACCAAAGGTATAGATAACGAAAAGGTATAAAACTTTGCGGTTGACAACCTTTTCATTTGAATTCATTTATGGTCCAAAATACTCATTTTAAAATCGGATGAAAATAAAATGAGGATGAATATCCCAAATGGACACAGGTGTCTTATGGGTGGAGTGGTTAGAGGAGGAATACGCGAGGGCTGAGGTTATAGGTTTGAGCCCCCGTGGTTGCGAAGCATGCGTTTTTTGTGCGAAAAATCACATGACTTGTGACTTTGTAAGAACCTTATTTATGTATTATGATGTTGTTTGACTTTGTAATCAACTAAATATTATATGTCTGTTATAATTGAGATATTCTGTGAGTATCGCACAAAGGCACAAGAGTACAAATAGGAAATTCTAGTCCGTTTCAGTCCCCATAGAGTAACCATGGATTTGTGAGTAGAGGCGGCTGGGTCTTTATAGAGGCATCTCAACCGCTTCTGTATTAGTGGGTCTCTATAGAGGCATCTCAACAGCTTCTGTAGTAGTGGGTGCGCCGTCGGCCTCGATCTGGACTTTAGCCGAGGAGTCTGGCGAGTGGAGGTGAGGAGGAGATATGGCGAGGAAAGCAGTGGGAGATTTGAGGAGGGCGGAGGGGAAGAGATTCTATGAGTTGGGAGAGAGAAGAAGAGAGAGAGCGCGCGCGCACAACTGTACAGACTTGCGGGAGCTAATCCAATTAAAGAGAAAAATCCAGGTCTGATATGGTAAAATCACTGTCGTTTGCCGGTAATACGCTGTCGGAATATGCTGTCGGGCTACATTACCAACAGGCAGTTGCTTTCGAACTGATACCCTTGTCATTGTCAGTTTAAAAGTATCTAGCAGCGTTGGTTTGTATGTAGCAGTGCCGTATGGACAAAAAAACACTATGCTGAGTAGTTCCAAAATGTTGCCTATGAGTATCAGAACAATTATGGATTCCGTGCCGGCATGAGAGTATACATATTCTTGGGTAGGAGGAAACGGTCTCCGTGATACATATTGCCACACACTTTACATTTCTACGAAACCAATAATCAATCTGCCGGCTACAGGTTCTTGAAATTTTTGAACCAATAATCAATCTGCTGGCTACAGGTTCTTGAACTTTACACCCAACTTGCCGGCCCGCAGTAGGGCAAACTTTACTAAATAGAAGCTGTACATGTGAGAAAGATATCTTTCAATTTCCAAAAGGTTGCTGTCTGCGGGTTCCATGCGTCTATAAGAATTGAAGTCTGATCTCATGGGTGTGTGGCTAATTGGATGAACGAGATGATGTACTAGAGCCAGCCGCAGAGATTTGCATCAAAGTCCCACTCCCACTGCACCACCAGTTGTCCACCACCACTCGCCGGTGATTTGCCAAGAAAACAGAGCTAGCAAATTAATTCTATAAAGCCAGGAACTTTTCTTTCTGCTGCTTCATATGAGTTAGAACCATTTTAGGACATGCTACTGGTTTTAGATATAAGAATGAGAAACAGAATTTCTGCTGTAGACTACAGACAGTTTACATTGGTGTGATATTCCACAATTTCAATCACTGAACAGATTTTTTTAGACAGGAATGCTAAATTCTCTACACCATTATAGGACATTGCCTCTCAGTCTCTCACCTTGGACCTGACACTTCTGAGGCTAGAGGTGGACCTGACAAGCCCGCAATTCCAGGAGCACCAAAGCTTGCTGAATTCGTTACGACAAAGTTGTGATCTATATATGTCAGTTTTGGCACTCATGGTGCTTTCCAAGACTTTTACGACCTCAGACATTTTAGGCCTTCGTTTGCAATCAATCTGCAAGCACCACATTGCGAGCTTCATCATCTGAATTTCTTCTTGCTTGTGTGCCTGACTGTCACTACTACTGCGCATATCAATCAAATCTACCAACCGATCACTCTTCAACTTCTCTTCCAGTAAGGTAATAAGATGAAAGCTCTTTTCAGACCGAGAAGTGTCCAGGTTCTTCCTTCCACTGATGATCTCCATCACCACCACACCAAAGCTATATACATCAGCCTTTTCTGTGATGTGCGACGTCAACCATTCGGGAGCTAAATATCCAGGCGTGCCTCTCATTCTAGTAACCACTTGGCTCTTATCCCGGTCGATGAGCTTGCACAGTCCAAAATCAGAGAGTTTAGCATCGAAGTTGTCGTCTAAGAGGATGTTCTGTGGTTTCACATCCAAGTGAGCAACTCTCTTCATGCACTCCTCGTGAAGATAAGACAGGCCCTTAGCTTCATGAGCAATAATCTTGCATCGCGTTTGCCAATCCAGGCAAGGAGTGTCGTCGTCGTCATTGCCGTGCCGGCGAAAGATCCACTGGTCCAAGGATCCTTTGGGCATGTACTCATGAACCAAGAGCCTATGCGATTTCTCTGCACAGAAACCGATTACCCTCACCAGATTGATATGGTGAATGCTACCGATGGTCTAAACCTCTGTCAAGAATTCCCTCTTTCCCTGACCAGCTCTATCCAACCGTTTCACCGCGATTGCTTCCTCTCCAAAACGTCCTCTGAAAACAGACCCGAATCCTCCTTCCCCGAGCTTCTCTCTGAACTGATCGGTTGCCTCTTGTAGCTGCTCAAATGTGAACCTTCTTGGCATCCCTGGTAGCCTCCCGAACTCTTCTTCCTCCTCTTCCTGCATCTCTTGGCGCCGCTGCAATCGTCGTCTACGCACCAAGATGAACAGGATGAGGGATGTGACCAAAACGAAACCACCTAAACCACCTAGAACAAAACCAAATATGAGTCATTTCTTGGATTTTGGTGAGGATGTGATGCTACTTGTTCCGTTTGCGGTTGGTGAAGGTGGAGGGGAAGACAATGACACAAGATCGACAGGGGGACCATCATCATCGGTGGCGTAAGTGTAGACGTCGGCGGGGCACATCCGAACATAGAACACCGTGTTGCTGTTTACCGTGCTGCCGTTGCAGGACTCGCACGCGCCGCCGCAGCCCCCTGGCACCTTGAGCTCAGCGGGGCACTGCGACGTGATGGCAGGACTTGTTGCCGGCGGGGCCGTCGAAAGAACAACCGGTGCGCGCCCACACGCGGCCGCCTTGGGTGTTGTTGGGCACTTGGAGCACCCAGGTGTTGCCTGGGTCCAGCCGCATGCCGCCGCCCACACGGTGTAGGAGCATCGGTTGGTGATGTTGATGGTGGTGGTATGGCTGCTGCTGGTGGCGACGGCGAGGACAGGGAAGAACAGTAGCAGGAGGTGGTGAGTCCAAGTGCTACTCCCGGCTCCCATTATTGGTGTGTCTGTGTGATGGTGCCATTATTCTTCAGATCCAACCTTTCGGAACTGCAATAATAGAGCTCTTTTGGCACATGCACTCGTTTTCAACCGCTCAACGGTCGACCGTCCACACCTAACATGGTGGCAACTTTATTGGACTTGGAAGTGGCAATTGCGTGTTGATCATCTCAACGGTCCACAGACTACTGCAGTACTGGTGCACACAAGGTTCTTTCACGGAGAGATCTCTGTCCATCTGTGTGGCTATCTTGACTCTGGAGAAAATATATCAACAAAAAATGTTTCAATTTCTTTTGTTAACTGTTTTCTTGTTGTGCCTTGATATTAGAATCATATTAGGAGTTTAGGACGCACTTGAAAAAAAAAGAAAAATCATAGTATCATAGTAATAATTATCAAAAAAATTCTAACATTTAGTTTGGTAGACTCTATTCACCATTTACAATATTAAGCATTGCATCTATTTTGTTTCTAAAAATTACCCACTTATGCCTAAAAGATAATTTAATGTAATCCCTAAATTTATATATAAATTTCACACCTACGCTGCTATAACATTAATATAAAATAAGCCTCTAAATTTATATCTAAATTACCCACTATACCATTATGAAATATAAGGAACCCCTTAGATTTTTCTATAAATTACCAATTAAAACAACATAAACTAACTCACGTCATATTGGCATCTTTAGATTACATTAAAAATATACAACTTTGTGGTTCAGAAAAATTTAATTTGAACTATTCAGTGTCCTCAAAATATCATTTTAATTTTATTAAAATTTAAAATTCAAAATTTTCAAACAACCTTGTAGTTCTCAATACAATCTACGATTTTGTAGTTGAAAAGTTTTTGGTTTGAATTTAGAGTCCTGAATATGTGCTTTAAGTTCTTAGCCTTTGAATTTTAAAATTCAGAATTTTCAAACAACCTTGAATTTTCACATAGTCAATACCAAAGTTGCAGTGGCTGACCTGATCTACAAGTTTGTTCTTGATAAGTTTTTTTATTTAAAGTTATTTAGAGTCTCAAATATTTGTTTTAAATTCACATATTTTTAGATTCTTTTTTTTATTTTTTCAAACAATCTCGGATGGAGGCATATCCTATACAAAGTTGTAGTGCTCGACAAGATTCAAAATTTTATAGTTGATTTTTTTCATTTGAGTTTATTTAGTAGCCAAAATAAAGAACCACCTAATTTTTTGTTTTTTTGATTTTCTAAAAATCATTAATAGAGACAGGCATCTTAACATGTCCACTCTATTACTCAATTTATAGAGACGAGCATGCCAACTGTCTCCGTAAATAGTCGTTAACAGAGACCATTTGTTAGAGGCGGATGGCTTGTCGGTCCCTAAAAATGTAGAACGCCCCTCTCTGAAAATTACCATGACTAACTGCATTTAGGATTCTAGAAAAGCAAACCAATAAATTTAAGCAGAGAAGAGGTACAACTTGTGGACACTCACTATTGGTTGCACGCTGTGAAAGCTCTTGATGATGGGCAACACCTGCCTGAGTATAAACTTCAATTTTGGCTGTGTTTGTGTTATGCTTGTCCATGAAAAGTTGTTGTGTTATGTTTTTGGCCAAGAAAGGTTATTGGATAATCTTGTTTTTTTCGCGACCTGAGCACGTGTTTCATTAAGACGAAGAGAAGTTTACAGCGACCTGGCTAACCATCCTAGCAGGTGCGAAGTTAGAAGACTATTACATAACATGTTGTAACAGCGACCAAACGTCCTACGACACCAAAAAAAGATAACTACTGACAGCAATAAACACGACCTATGACCAAACCATCGCAAGGCAAACTACACCTACAGCCGAACCCAACAACAACACAAACGACCTCAGGCGACACCGTGGAGTTTAAGGCGCCGGAAACAAAGGTAGTGGCTGTCGAACACTATGCAGTGTAGTGACCAACGGACACCTCCTCAATAGGGCATGAAACACTGATGCCACGTCTAAGAAAGCAATCAAATCTTGGCAGAGTTGAACTTCGGCGACCGAAAGTGTCATGACCCGATCATGACATGTTAATCATACGCATCATGATCATCATATGCATTTTAATCTCAACTTAAAAATCAACTTGAGCAAAAACTGAACTAAGTCTGCACACTGGTAGTCCTGACGGAGAGTCCACCCAGTCCAGCGGTGAGTCCATCGAGCCACAGCACAGCCTGACAGAGTTCAGTCTCTATCAGTAAAAGTCTGACACCCAGCGGAGAGTCTGCCAGTCCATCGCATGCAGAGTTTGTGAGGTGTCACCGAAGGATAGAGACGGCGGACTAGGGGTAAATATTCTTTTCTAAAATTAATCGCACCGGCTAATCGAAATAAATATGAAATTAAAACTATCGGTCTAACCAAGACTACACCCCTTTATATAAGTTCTCAGACACCTTATAAAAGATTCTAATTAAACAACTAAGGTGCTAGGCTAGCTAGAACTCGTCTAACCAATTCTAGAAGGAAGGTCACACAAACCTATGCAACTAGTACTTCAAACACCGAGAGAGCTACACAAACTAGTATGCAAAAGCACAAAGCTCCTAAGCTCACTAGCAATGCTCAATAATAAAGCTACACAAGTCAAATTAGAGAGCTCAAATTACTTAGCTACACAAACTAAGTAATGCGACTAACAAGGCTACTCAAGCCAATTAGTCACGTAAGGGATCTACTTCTATGCTACACAAGCAAGTAGGTAACTAGCAAGCTACACAAGCTAATTAATTACAAGAGCGGCCACACAAGCACAAAATATATAAAGTAAATACAAGCTTGTGTATGGGAATACAAACCAACAGGAAGAATAAGGATGATACGGTGATTTTTCTTCCAAAGTTCACGTGTTTGCCAACACGCTAGTCCCCACTGTGTCGACTGCTCATTTGGTGGTTCAGCGAGCTAACAGGCATTTCACAAGCCTAGCCCACATGTTGGGCGCCGCAAGAATCTACCCACAAATAAGGGTAACTTAATGATACGCTCAACTAGAGTTGTTCTTCGCGATCCCCGTGGGACGAGCACAATACCCCTCACAATCCTTCTCCGGAGCACCGCACAATCTTCTTGCGTGCTTCGACGGAGCCACAAGCTTCCAAGCCATCTAGGAGGTGGCAACCTTCAAGAGTAACAAGCACCATCGGCTTGCAACACGACCACCTAGTGCCACTCGATGCAATCTCACAAAGCAACACACTAAAGATCACTCACTCGTAATCGATTCGCACTCTTGCAAGCACAAGTGAGTTAGAGGGCTCCCAAGCATACCTACACAAGCCACCAAAGCTCAAGGGTGCTCAGCAACCATCACAAGGCCATACAATGCTTGGTTATATAGCCCCCAAAAGAATAGACCCGTTATACCCCTTTATTGGGTTGACTGCGTGTCGACCGGACATGCCAACAGTAACGACCGAACATGTCCGGTCACTGGATGGGCGCCACGTGTCCCCTCCATTTGAAGCCAACCGTTGCTCCCCAACGACTACTTCAACACACGTGCTCACAACAGCCAGACCAGACGCGCTAGGCCAACTGACAGGACGTGCAAAGCCTCAACATCCAATCCGTTCCAAAGAGCTCCCAGACCCGACAATTCTTGACCAGACATGTCCGGTCGCCGTGATCGGACTCTCACCAGCGTCAGGTCACCACTGCGTCGTGAAGCCCGACAGCGACCTGAGCGCGTCCGGTCGCGCCCTGTACCAATGTCCGATCGCAACCGCGCCAGCTCATCCGAGGCGCCACGTGACTGACCGGACTCGTGAGCCAGCGTTCGGTCGCTGCATGACCAGAATCTGGTCACGCCTTTGTCAACTGACCGAACTCGCTGGCCAGAGTCTGGTCGCTACAACAATAGCGTCCGTTCAACCTGCACTGCTGCCGGACGCGTCTGGTTGCTCCGAAGACAGCGTTCGGTCACTGCAGTGACCCTATTCCTTCTCCTTTTCACCTCAAGTTTCTTCTCCTTTGCGAGTGTGCCAAAACCACTAAGTGATCCACCACCTTGTGCATGTGTGTTAGAATTTTCTAAATATCTTTCCACGCCACTCGATCCTAGCATATCGTAATGTTAGATCGCTCAAGTGGCACTAGATGACCGATATGTAAATAAGTTTTCCCCTCTTGATAGTACGACCATCTATCCTAAATCCGGTCATAAACTTCTCTACACACCTATGACCTAGAGAGCGGGCGTCTCCTTCCTCACCTTCCACGAGCACGGGCTCAGGTACCCCGCGCATTGGTTCCTGCGCCGTCTCCTCAACGAGTTGGGCCTAGAGTTGCAGCACCTCAACCCAACTAGGGTGCTGGACATCGCCGGCTTCGTCACCATCTGGAGCCGCATGTGGATCTATTCTAGCGAGTCTTCATCGGGCGAGCTCTATGCGAGGAGAAACTACCTAGAACCGCACCGGTTGGGGGGTTTGCCCTGTAGAAGAGGCCGAAGCCCTCGGTCCCATACCACGCGTACTCCCCCAGTAACTCTAACCAGGGGTGGCATGGCGAGTGGTTCTATATCAGGAACCCGGTGGAGGCACCATTCCTGATGTTTACCTGGGGGATGTCGGAGAAGAGGGAAAGTTGGACGTGGAGTCCTTCCCGTCAATAGAAAAAGCTGGCGATCATCGAGCCGAAGCTTCGGAAGCTCATGCGGAATGGCCTCGATGGGTTGCGGGTCTTCCACACCTTCTTCCACCGTTGGGTTGCCCCACTGGGGGAAAAGATGCGGCTGATGTGGGAATACTCTAGCCCAATGAATCCCGACCGTGCATCGCCGGAGGAGTTGTCGAAAGATGAAGTCTGGAGTTATCTTGGTCGGGCTCTGCAGTTGAGGGATGAAGCCTCCCTCGAAGGGACGCCCAGACCCCTTCATGCCGTGAAGTTATCTTGGTCTAGAGTTTTGATGTTTTGATTGATTTTGAGTTGCCCGTTTTGAAGGGACTCGTGGACTATAAATCCCGGC